CCCCAAGGGCTGTCAGCCAGAGCCTTAGCCTTGCCTTCTTAGTTCAGGAAGCATAACAGCTGTTGGCTGAAATATTTCCTCATTTAGATGCCAGGTTGCATAAGTTTATATTTTCTTTTTTGTCAGCGACTTTCTCGGTTCCTGTGTCTTTTATATTACTCAAGAAATGATGCAAAAGTTAACTCAGGATGGTGGTTTGGGCATGGTTTTTTGTTTCTAGCTTTCTTTGTCATCCAAATCTGTATTCTGCCAAGGTCATGTTGGATCCAGCCCAGTTTGTGGTTTAGGCTTTTATTCTCTCTCTCTCTCTCTCTCTCTCTCTCTCTCTTTCTCTCTCTCTCTCAGGTCTAGCAGATTCTCTGTATTTGAGACTGATTTAACTTTTTGACAATTTCCAACTTCTCATTTAGTTTCAGAAAAACTGTGTGGGACTGCAAAACCAATTCTATAGTAAGAATCACATAAGGAATTAAATTGAAATAAGTAAGTTTCCCTATCTTAAAGGATAATGACATGTATTCTCACCCTGTTCATTTCCACAGAAACATAAATACAAGATGTGTAGATTGGATATCCTTACTGGCCTAGCAGTAAAAATAGCAGCTGGCCCTGGCCCATCTGTACTCCAGTCACCAGTGGCCTGGATGTTGGCCGTAGTCCTAGATAGATCATACTTCTTTTCACAGACATCAATTACTGTCTTAAAGGCGGAAGAAAAAAAACCTTGGATTTGATTCATAAAATTATAGCACAAGTTTTCTGTCTTTGGAGAAAAACTAAGGAAGCCTTAATGTTTTTCATCTCCTTTTTAAAACGTGTGTTGTTAAGGATTTGACTTAAGGGAAAGAAGAAAATGCTTCTCTTTTTATTGATACCCAGCCTTATCTTCCATTTAGAGTCCATGTGTCCAAGTGTATCACCTTGTATTTGAAACTAATTTCACATAAAAAAAGATACAAGCCCTCTGGCCTCAAATTATAATTTATTTCATAGCTCTGAGCACCTATATAGAGTTTTCACCAACTTGCAGAGTTGAGGTACCCCCCTGATGTTTGAAGTGAACCATTTAGAAATTAAGTGCATGTTTTTTATGTGGAATTTGGGTCTCCAGTTCAGCCCACAGGAAACCACCAATAACAGACTTTTAAAATAGTATCAATAGTAATGGCAAAAGACACCTGAACCAACATTGTAATAAAATGTCTGTATAAAAGAGAACTTCCAACTTGGGAGCTTTCTCTACTCCTAAACATTTTCTCTATTTTGCAGTGGGACAGGGGATCCTTCACCTACCCAACTTCATTCGTACTTTGCAGTTTGGGATGTGACTTCCTCAGTGCTACAGCTTGGGCCTCCCAAGGCTGAGAACCAGGATGGGGCTGTTGGGATGCTGAGAGATAAAGGTGTGGGCTGGAGGGAAGTGCTATCAAGGAATTTCTAACAGCTATATGCTCATTCTAAAAGGAGCTCTCTGCTTTCTTTTTGATTTCTTCAGTGGCCTCAGGAATGACCTCTTTTCATGTTATATTGTCTTGTCTATTGCTTCTCATGAAAGATGCTCTGTCTAAAACCACAGAAGAGTTACATGCCAGCTTGGTTTTTCTTCTTATCACTTTGTGCCTAAAGCTAGCCCAAAACTGTCTGAAGTTTTCTCAATAGGGTGGAAATACTTTTGCCTGCATTAGCTGTCCAGTGTTACCCACCTAATTCTCTGCAGAAGCAGACAGTAAAAGAAAAGCTCATCCTCTGCTGGGCATTTCATCCTCGGATTTGATATAGGTCAAGTAAAGGAGAACAAAAGTATCCAATGCGTGTGCCAATCTTGTTTTTAGCAATGCTGGTTTATTAGTGGCCTTGACGAGAGCTATCTCAGAAGAATAAAGGGTCAGAAGGGAAGACCCCCTGGAGAAGAGAACAGCAGGCCACTCCAGCATTCTTGCCTGGAGAATTGCATGGACAGAGCGCTTGGTGGGTTACAGTCCATGGAGTCCCAAACGGTCAGACGCGTCTGAGCATAAAGGGTCAAAAGCATGATTGGAGCAGGTTCAAAAAAAGGAAGAAGGGAAATGAGGCAGCGGTATCGGCTGTTCTTCTGAGTTGTTTTGTTACCAAGGCAGCCAATGGTGGAAGAGGGAACAGAGCAGGATGTGGAGACAGACATTTCTTCTCTGAAGGTTGGGGTCATCACTGCATAGTACCTGTGTGCCGAGGGGAATGGTCACTTGAAGAAGGAAGCCTTGAAAATGCAGGAGAGAAGAGGGCACAGCTGCCACAGGATGGAAGGCGGTGCCCACTCTGCGGGGTGGCCCATGGGGGGGAGGATGTGGATGCTGCAGTGAGCAGCTGATGGAGGGTCTCTTCTGATCTCTCTGTGGGTGAGTGAGGTGAAGGTGAAGGGGAGTAGGCTGGGTGTTTGCTGGGAGAGCAGATGGGGAGAGGGTGGTCTAGGAGAATGGACAAGGAGTGCCAGGGCCCTGTGGGGGTAACGGTTGTACCTGAAGTCCACAGTCAGGAGTTTAAGTAATACCAGGAGAGAAAGGGGTCTGCGTGTGACCTTGGAGGTGCTGAGGCAGGTGGCATAGATGCACCTTCCGCAGAGTTGCACGGGCAGGACATCTGTCAGAAAGCATTCTGAAGCCTGAGAACAGGACCTTGCTATATGAAGCTTAGCTTTGAATTACTTAGCACTTTTCCTTGGCAAAAAGCTTTTTAAATTTCTTTAAGACAGCCTTAGTATCTCCAGAGACAGCATTTGGCTCCTGCCACTGATTTACTCAGTAACTAAGTCTAAGCAAATGATTTAACCTCTTTTTGCTTTTACCTCTCAATCTATAAAATGACAGTGGCAATGTTTCAAGTGCAACAAATGCTTTAAAAATAAAAGTGCTACATAAATACAAGCTATTAATAAAATGGTATTTCAGCCGTCATGGCTACGGTCACCAGAAAGTCAGAAAGGTCAGAGCATCTGAACAAGCCTTGGGTGGCAGAAGCCTCACTTGGAAGGCTTGGGCAGAGGAAGGCACAGCCAGGCACCTCGAAGGAGGTGTCACCCTCATCCTTCCCTTTAGTTCTCACACCTGCCCTTGGAGTTTGTTGAAACTCTCAGAGGTGAGCTAACCTGTAAAGCCAAGGGGTGGGACTTGGATTTCAACCCCAGTGTACCATAAAATCCCATGCTGTTTTCACTTTGCCACGTGTGGAATTGGGCTTGATACATTATAGCCGGGAAAGGTGTGGAATACTTTATTTATGTACAATGTAGACCTATATTTTAGCCAATCGAATCTCTTCTCTGTCATCAAAAATGTAATGAGAGTTGCCCGGCGGCAAAATAAATTATAGTTTGTTGGAGATATCATCATGATGGAGTTGTTTACAAGAACTCAAATGACAAGAAAAGATAGGAACATTTTGAGAAGGAACTGTAAGCAGACTAAAAATTTCCACTTAGCTACAGTGCAGTTTTCAAACGCTTTGGGGCAGGAGAGTTGATGCTAGAAAAAAAAAAACAACTTTTGTGTGTGGTCTTGGGAACTGTAGGAATACAGTGTTAGCTGTACTTTTTACTGCAAACATCATACGCACGTTATAAACTATAGAGATAAACATTCCTAAGAGAAAGTCACTGCTCTGTAGATTTTTACTTTTGAGTAACAACTGCCCACCTGATAAAGAACGTGACAGGAAGAGTGTATTTATTTTCTTCCAACAGCTAAAAGGTGATCAGACTTCTAAAATTTGTTGAGATTGTCCAGGAAAGTGAGTAAAATACTCATCCATCACCGGAAGGCCCGGACAGGAGATGACAGTGCAGTAAATACCTTCAGCAGCCACCTTTTAATGTACAAGCTGTTTTCAGTTGGAATTTTCAGCACTCACATAAAACACACTGTCATGAGTGACTGCTTCTGCTCCAAAGTCATCGCTATTGGGATAATGGAACATCTCTCAGCGAATAACCGAAAAACTTTTAAATGTCATGTCAAGTTTGTTGAAGCCATTTTCAGGCCACATTCAAGGTTATGTGAATATTGAGAGTTCTGTGTTTTTTTGAATTTGAGATATACATGAGATTACTCATAAAGTTGTACAATGTGAAAGTTAATTAGGAGAAAATCTGTTGCTCTTTGGGAAAGTCAATTGGCTAGAGTCATTTCGCTGTTAGCTATTATACCTCTTCCCTCACAACTTGTAGAAGTTGGGATTGCTATCACTTACCAATGAAAGAATATACACGTGTGTATAGTTTTCAGGTCTGTATTGATATATGTGTATGCATTTGGCAAATTATGACATTATTTTGACTTGCTAGGAAATTTTGACAATTTGATTTTTAATTTCCTGTTAGTTTTTCCTTCTTTTTACTTTTCAAAAGGAAATTAATCTTATTATTCAAACTAATGCCTATCTTAAATGTAGAAATAAATTACTTGCCCAGTGCGTATTTATTGAGCACCTACTTTGCCCCACGGCCATCCTAGGCACCAGTGTTACAGCAGTGTTTAGAACAATGTCCTTGCTGTCAGCAGAGCTTACATTCTAGTGAAGACATAGACAACAGACAAGTAAGCAAGTATATGATGTGTCCAGGGGTCGTAAGTTCTGTGAAGGGAAAGACGAGGTTGAGAGAGAGTGATGAAAAGGTGAGTGCTGTTTTAGATGGATGATCAGAGACGGCCTCTCTCAGTAGCACTTGAGCAGAGACCTGAACGAAATGCAGGACCAACCTTGCTAGTAACTGAGTGATGGGGGTTTCAGGCACAAAGGAAGCAGGAAGTAAGCATTAATACTAATGAAATAGTTGCCTATTTATATTTTTTAGCTTATTCTTAACCTCTATGTGTTTATTTTAAATCTACCTTTCTCTTGAATATTTTTTAGTTTAGTCTGTCAAAAAGGACTTGTTTGTTGAGAATAATTATTTTAATGTTTTGTAATGTGCACAATCCTTGCTTATCACAGTAATAAGTTTAATATTTCTTTCTTCCTTACTGTAGAAAATCAGAAGTTGCAGTTGACAGAAGGGTCACGTTCACACTACAATATCAATTGCAGCTCAACAAGGATTGCAGTCGCCAAGGAGCTTAATTATAATCTAGACACTCACACGTCTACAGGGAGGATCAAGGCAGTTGAGAAGAAGGAAGCCTGTAATGCAGAAAGCAGCAGAAAAAAGGAAATGGAACTTCTTGGCTCTGTTTCTAAAAATGAGCCCATTCCCGAAGTTGAAGCCCTGCTGGCAAGATTACGAGCTTTATAAATTAAACTGGTAAAAAATGATTAAGCCAAATATAAAGCCATGCTGTAAGCTGTAACACTTGAAAAAATTGCTTTTTATATAAGTGACTTTATGTAGTTTTAAATTAGGATATATATTAGAAAAATAAAGCTAAATACATGATTGCAGTGCTTTTCCTATGTACTTGAGGTTTGGGCTTATTCAAGATTGTAATGGGCTTTAGTGCTTTTCTTGTCTCTCGGTGTTCTTGTGTTCTATATTTGGTGGTTGAATTATACATAATGCTTCAGAGAGCAGGTAGGTGGCCAGGTGTTCAGCAGTGTGTCCTTAAGAAAATACCATCTTTTTAAGTCACTAGTTTTTACTTTACTATTTTCAACATTAGTGAACATCAAATCATCAGCCTTCAGTCTTGCTACATATCCATTTATATTCCATGTATATTGTTTATCTAGGGCCAGATTTCTCCTTAATTGGGATCTGTATGCTATCAACGTAGCACAGAAAACATAAACTGGATATAATAAAGCTGTGAGGAGATGATTGGTAAGCTCATTATGATCATTGTTGAATTCATGTTAATTAGACCCTGTTGGAGACTATATGGCAACTGAACACACTTCCAAAACTGATGTAATAGGAATATATGTCCTCTCTTTGTAGAATGCACATACCTTTGTGTAAATGGAAGCAGTGTTACAGTGCTGCCGAAACTCTTAGGGGAGAGAGCATTTTTTTTTCCCCTGATAATGATGACTCTGGGATCAAATTGCCATTTTGAAACTTTCCACATTAAGAAATTTTAATTTCTGTGAACAAACTTGAAATTGCAGTTTCTTTGATCTGACAATCAATCACTTTAACAAAAATCTGAAGTGTTTCAAGAAAAGTCTTCCTATGCAAAGGTTGCAATTTTACCTCGTTGGGGGCATCAAATTAATTCTGTTAATTCTATATCAAAGAAAATAAACTTGTTATTTGCACTAAATAAAAAAAGTTGCACCTTTTTGTGTTGTAATTAGCATATTCTGTGGATTGGGGGAAAGAGACTGTGCTCTGCAGTCTATCTAAGCATCTCTTTTGCTTTATGACATGCAGTAAGCAAGTGACTGCTCTTTTACCTTCAGTTAAAAAGCAGTTATATGGAACTAGTCTGGCGAGGTCCACTGCTTTTTATTCCTTGTTTAAGTTGCCACCTCCTTTCAGCTCCAAGTTAATAAAGTTAATTAATTAGAACAATGAGCCAGGCCCTGTTTATAGACACTGGGGAACAGTGTGATCCATAGTCAAGGTGGGAATAAATTGTTCTCATCTGTGTTGCTGAAATGTGCATTTTACCCTCCAGTTGCAATTCCTATTTTCCTGAGAGCACATTTTAAAAATCAGGAAAGGTGAAGGATATTTACACATTTAAGCAGACAGGAGCCCTTAACAGCAAGGAAAGAAGCTAAATGAAGGAATCCTGACTATCTGGTCTTCACATGATTTTGCGAAGGCTTGAGATTTTCAGAAACAGAACTAAAGTTCAACCTAAAAGTTTAGACACACCAGATGGCAGGTAAGTGTCACTTTAGGACTGGGGAGCAGACACAGGGGAGAGACCGCCTGGCCAGTAAAGGAGAGTGAAGTTGACACTGTTTCCCAGGGGCAGAGGAAGGCAGGGAAGCCCCGAGACTGAACAGTCTGCCCAGAGCATCTGTCTGCAGAGGCTGAAGGACGTTCTCAGGCGAGGGGCCTGTCCCAGCAGTCCCGGGCGGGAGGCTGCAGCTGGGAGGGGAAGCACGGGGCAGTTGACAGAGGTAAGAGGCAACCAAGAAACACCGGTTTCTGATGCAGGTGTTTCTTCCAACAACAAGCAGGGAGGTATAATTAGGATTTTTAAGGTCATAATATTCCTTTAGTCAACTGTGGATGAAAACTAGAGTGAGGCAGACCTTGAGATACAGTTGCGTTTCTGAGCAGGCAGATTTTGTTCATTTGAATTAGTGGATAAAAATTCAGTACCTTGACAAGGACGCTCCATCCAAGCTAGTGACAAACCCCAAAATAGATTTCCTTCCCCTTTCTCTCAGGTCAAAGGAGAGAATTTGGCAAGAACACAGACAACTAAGTGATCATCAGGGGGTCCAAAAGCAAAGACTGCTTGTGAGAAACCACGTTTCCCAATCAAATATTTAATTTAAAAATAAGAAAAGCAATCTTATCTAATCATATACACATATATGTCCTTTTCTTAACATATATTTGAATAAACAAAATATGCCAAACATCTAATGTTTATGTTAGGAAGTAAACATTTCAGTAATTTATCTGAAAAAATTCTGCTAAAGCTAAAAAATGCAATTATTTATACTAAGTAAATCTAAAACTCTTAGTTGTTACAATAGTGTTTATTCAAAAACAAGAATTATTAATGATTTCAAAATGTTAGTTTAGCCACAAATGATTATTTCTTAGGTGATTCATTCTCATTTAAAATATCATGCTCAGCCGCTTCAGTTGAGCCCACCAGGCTGCTCTGTCCATGGGATTCTCTAGCCAAGAACACTGGAGAGAGTTGCCATTTCCTCCTCCAGGGAACCTTCCCCACCCAGGGATCAAACCCGAGTCTTCTGCATCTCCTGCATTACAGGCGGATTCTTTACTGCTGAGCCACCAGGGACGCCCCTAAAATATAATTCTGTGTAGATCTGAGTTTACTAGTTAGAAACTAAATCTATAATGTACAAATCTTTCATCTTATTAAACTCTATAAATAACCATCGGTGGATTTTGGTGGTAAGTTTTGTGGCGATCTTTTGTACAGAGTGTAACTTTTGGAAAGTTGTAGGTCTTAATATATAAAGTACTAATATGAATGAAAATTTTTAAAACTGGCATTCATTGTCTTTTTCTTCATGTTAATTATTAAAAATTTTGAGATCCAGGAATTGTAGCTATCAGTGACCCAGTCCTTTTTTTTGTCTGGTGAATTGTTCAATGGTAGCTGTTACACGCCCTTGCCAGGCATGACTATTCTTAGAATAGGTTCTAGGGCCAAACTGTTCAACCATTATGCTCAAGAGCTACTGTTTAGCAAAACACGTGGAGCTGCCAAAGAGCCACAGCGACTGGATGACATTTCAGAATTGAATCCAAATCTCCCCATAAAAAGAAAATAATGGAACCTTAAACCATAAAAGTTCATTATTCCTAAGTAGGCCATTGCCTTTTAAAGTGGATATAAGGGAAGAGGTTACAGCTAAGATGGGAATAGAGTTTGAGGTAGAAAGAAAGTGAGCCATGCCCCTAATTAGGGTTTGACTGTGAGGGTCTCTGCCTCCTACTCACCTTGTTAGATTTTGAGCATCACATTTGGTTCATATTCTCCTTTCAGCATCTCCAAGATGACAGGAGCTTAAAAAAATCACTGCAGATGGTGATTGCAGCCATGAAATTAAAGGACACTTACTCCTTGGAAGGAAAGTTATGACCAACCTAGACAGCATATTAAAAAGCAGAGACATTACTTTGTCAACGGAAGTCCGTCTAGTCAAGACTATGGTTTTTCCAGTAGTCATTAGATGTGAGAGTTGGACTATAAAGAAAGCTGAGTGCCAAAGAACTGATGTTTTTGAACTGTGGTGTTGGAGAAGACTCTTGAGAGACCCTTGGGCTGCAAGGAGATCCAACCAGTCCATCCTAAAGGAGATCAGTCCTGGGTATTCATTGGTAGGACTGATGTTGGAGCTGCAACTCCAATACTTTGGCCACCTGATGCGAAGAGTTGACTCATTTGAAAAGACCCTGATGCTGGGAAAGATTGAGGGCAGGAGGAGAAGGGGACAGAGGATGAGATGGTTGGATGGCATCACCAACTCAATGGACATGGGTTTCAGTGGACTCTGGGAGTTGGTGATGGACAGAGAGGCCTGGCGTGCTGCAGTTCATGGGGTCACAAAGAGTCAGACACGACTAAGTGACTGAACTGAACTGATGGGACCAGATGCCATGATCTTAGTTTTCTGTCCATAGGGATTCTCTAATCAAGAATGCTATAGTGGGTTGGCAGATTCTTTACCATCTAAGCCACTGGGGAAGCCCCATTGTGTAAGTCTATTATGTACTTAATTTTTTGTTTTAATTGTTTATAAAGTTTGAGACTTTTCATTTTCTCTTGGTATTTTTTATTCCATGTTATGTTTGGATTAAAAACCTATTTATAAAAATTTCTTTTCCCTTGTTTTCTAACTATGGGTTACTAAAATTTTCTTTAGCATCTCCAATGACAATCTAATCTTAATATTTTATATATAGTTTGGGTGTGATTGATGGTCAAATATAAAGAAGCTATAGCAAAATTAACAGATTGAATCAAGCATTGTAGTGAATTACTTCTTGAGAAGGGGACCAAGTTCTCAGGTGAGTGTGTCCAGTTAATTTTCCCTGAAGTGTCTGTTTTCACGAGCATGGCTGATCCTGATAGAACAGGCCTATGTTTATGTTAAAAAAAAAGTGTATTAACCAGAAATGTTTAGTAGCATACATATTTAACTTAATATATTTAGTAATATGTATAAAGGCAAGTTATAGATGGTGTAGATATATTAATAATATGGACATTATTGTTTACATGCTTTGTCATAATTTCAAAGTTTGGTATGTGTAAAGCATTCTCTGTTAAAATATATCAAAATCTGGCAACAAAATTTAAAACTTATAATTAAAGTACCTGACTTCTGAGGGAAGCTCGATTTTAAGATGAGGCGTTTCTTCCCTCCCCTTCCCTTCTGTCGGGCACAAATACTTGACCTTTTCCATACAAAACCAAGCAGGTGGCTAATAAAAGCAAACAGGTGCCTCTCCAGCCTGAAAACAGCAGCGTTTTTTGGAGGCCCGCGTCCTAACTCCCTTCCTTTGCTTCATGACCTACGACGGGCCGTTCTGTTGCCTGCAAGAATACTGACTGACGTCCCATGACTGCGGCTTAGCCTGAGCATGCGAGTCCAATCTGACTGACGATAAATAAAATCTTGTCGTAC